GGACCACATCCTCCCAGCCACCACCAGGGCTGAAGGTTCTGCACGTAGTCAGCCCTCGGTGCCTGCTGCTCAGCATGGTTATTTCCAGAGGACACAGTCTCCGTGATAATCATCTGTGGCTATCCTCCCTCAATGTGCCCCAGCGTGCTTTCTCTGATCCTTCTCTGGGCTATAAGACAGATAGCATAAGATTCTCTCAAGCTGTCACAGTTTGGATGTCTAGTTTACTCCTGTGACACATTTCTTTTATCTCTGTTCTTCAAAACAGCATTATCATTAACAACATCGTACGATCAATACAGAGAAAAGATAAATTCCCTCCTTCGACGTCACAGTGATGGATTCTGGGGGTTTCATCTGCTGTGCCTGGGGTTTGATGTGGCGGTTTGTTAAGATAAAACTCTTCAGTGCTGTGAATCTGTTGGGGAAGCCCAGGCAGGGACAGAACTGGCTCCCACCAGCTCCAGCAGGACTGTGGCATGACCCTCAGAGTCTGTCCGGGTGTCTGTGCCCAGCAGAGCAGAGCAGGGCATCCGTGCACGTAGAGTGGGGACAGTTTTATGGGGAGTGAGCTCTCAGGATGAGAGGCCAGTGGCCTTGATGATCTGGACTGCCATCTGGGAGGGAGAGAAAGCTGGGCTTTGCAGCCAGACAGACTTGAGTCTGTCTTCAGTTTCTTCTGAGAGGCCTGGTTTTTGCATCTTTGGAATGAGACTCCAATCTCCTAGTTCATAAATGTTTTCGCTTACATGAAATAAAAGCCAGACCATTCCTCATGTGGTTAGTGGTACATCTTAAACATCCCAGTATCTGTGCATTCTCTGTGCTGAGAGAGGCAGTTATCTGTGGTGTTAAGACATCATCAGTTTTTCAATTGAGTTCAAAGTGGTTTTTTCCTAATAATACAATTTCAAAGTTTGCAAATGATTTACTTCTTAAATATAATTAGAATACATTCAAGACTTCCCCCTAATAATAGTACTCCTGTTCCAGTTCTTCCTGTGCTTCTGAAAGGTGGATACAGAGGTCCATCTCAGCCCAGTCAGCATGGCTCAGGGGTTGAGAGTCAACCTATGTACCAGGAGGTCACAGTTCGATTCCTGGTCAGGGCACATGCCCAGGTTGTGGACTCAATCCTCAGTAGGGGGTGTGCAGGAGGCTGCTGATCAATGATTATCTCTCATCATTGATGTTTCTACCCTTCTCTCTCCTATGAGTTTTACATAACTGATCAAACTGAATTGCAGATATCTATGATGAAGCTGAAATGTCTATTATCTTGACAAACCAACCATGGTCATGTGGATAACATGAAAACCGTGTTGTGGATGTTCACATGTGTTGGTCAACAGTAATCTCAACAAACAACCACTTCTCTAATTTTAAAAAAATACATATGTTTGCAGGCAATTTCCACAGAGTAAGTTATTTCCTGTTAATCAAATGACAGAGCAAGTGGCGCTGGCCCTCCACAGCCCATCAATTTTCCTGTAGATGGCATTTACATTCAACTGGGGTTCACACTGCGAACTCGATTCAAAAAACAACCTCTTATGTTACAGTTCTAAGTAACAGCATGGGGTTGACTTCTGGGGAAGAGAGAGAGAACATGAGTGCAAGATGAAATAAAAGCTTAATGCTCCCTTTATGGCTAAATGTGGGTTGAGTGCATATTTTCAACCAGAAAAATCCAGTTCAGAGTGTGGTCAGTCCAGGTCAGGGGCCAGATGGAATGGTCATTTGCAAACGTTTTCTGCTACTGGATCTGCACTCTTCTTTCGGGGTGGGAGCGGTGCTTTTTGCTTTTTCTTTTCCCCTGGGAGTTGATAGAAGTATTTTTTTCTCTCTTTAGCTGTAAATCTAAATTCCATTGAAGTGATGTCTGTGTGGATCATGATGTATTTTCAGTGCCCTTCAGTGGTTTTTGGAAAGACCTCATTTTCAGTGGGTTATCACACTGGCTATTACATCACTGATATTTGCTTAAAGAGCCAGCTGTCCTCTTTGCCAGCAGCAGTGAAAACAGAAGCTAGTGTGTTCCCTCTGTGTTGGGCCCGTTATTCACCAGCTCCCTGCCGCATGAAAATACATGGCCTTCCCCATGCAGCATTCCACCCGACGTACATCTCAGCCTCTTACTTTTCATGGTGCTTCTCATAATTCATGGCTATTTCATGGCCTTCTTTTTTTCTTAAGTTGACTCCTCAGTAAAAGAGAAATTGCTGGAAGCAGGGAACTCACCTGTCTTCATCTCCATTAGGCACCTAGCCCTGTGCATGGCTCGTGAGAGGTACTATTTTCTTGAATGATTGATGGAATCATCCTAGTCCCCCTCCCCCACCCCCCCAAGTCTGTGTCTTCTCTTTAGCTAGCCAATCAGAAGGGGCAGAGGTTTTGGTAAATGTGGGTGGACATACGTACGATGGATAATCCCATATCTGATTGAGAACCTACAGTGACTGTATACTGTATGGATGTGTGAAGAATTCAGGATTTGGGCTGTCACCACTATTCAGAGGTAACTCTGATGGAAAAGTTGGATGCAGGGCCAGCACTTGGAATTAGAGCTGTCTTCAGTGTCTCTTTAAAGCCATTGCTCGTTTTTACCTTAGATGTCCTTCTGTGACCCTTGAAGGAAATGTCTGAAACACATTTATACAGAGAAGGAGCCCTAACTGGTTTGGCTCAGTGGATAGAGCGTCGGCCTGCAGACTGACTCTATAGACATGTGCACTTATGTTCGTATGCTACACACACACATCAAAATTTATAGTCGGGCCCTAACCGGTTTGGCTTAGCGGATAGAGCATTGGCCTGTGGACTGAAGGGTCCCAAGTTTGATTCCGATCAAGGGCATGTACCTTGGTTGCAGGCACATCTCCAGTAGGGGGTGTGCAGGAGGCAGCTGATCAGTGTTTCTCTCTCATTGATGTTTCTAACTCTCTATCCCTCTCCCTTCCTCTCTGTAAAAAAAAAAAAAAATCAATAAAATATATTTTTTTAAAAAAAGAGAGCAGGAAAGGTAAAAGAAGCTATGCCTTCCTACTTTAGGAAATGCCAGGAAAGCAAAATCACCTCCAAAAAAGAAACAGCACCATGTTCCCATGTCCTGAGCCTCCCAGCCTGGCACCCTCCAGGGTACGGTGGGCACATAATGTCCTTCAGTGCTCAGAGAAAACTCTAGGAAAGCACAGTCACCTCTGTTTCTCAGATGAAAAGATGGGTTCTGAGCTATCAACATATCAGACTTTTCAACAAATAATTCGTTCACGGCTGAGCCAAGATCTCCCAACTTTCTTTCCCTCTGAAGCCCCTTTCCAGCTCTTTCCAGCACAATCTCACAATAAGCCAACGCTGTGGGCACTAAAGAAAACTGCACCTGTATTGAAGGGGAAACTGTGGGAGACCGCTGGTGAGAGGAGAAGACATGTGATGTTCAGAGGCATGGCAGGGCGCTAGGATGAGAGAGTCCTTGAATTCAGACATCAGAATGTGAAACTCGAGATCAGCACGCCTGCTGCACCAGGGCTGAGGGCCAAGGGGCTGGACAGCAAGTCCAGAGGGATCGTGGATAATATTGTATGTGTTTCTCTTCACCCTTGTTCTCCACAGTAGAGGGGACAATGAAACTTTGGGATGAGAAGGCGGTATGGTTCCATTTTAGGAAGGAAAATGTGAGGGCAGTTTGAAGTTTGGACTGAAGATGGGAGAGAGTGGAGGGAAAG